CTGGGCGCCTCCTCGCGCCTCCCGCGCCAGCTCCTCCCGGGGTGGTCCGGGGCTGCGCCGCTGAAACAGGGACGTGGGAAAAAGCAGAGACGAGCGAAAACAGAACAAAACAGGATGATGAGAGCGCTTGGCAGCTCTGCCCATCACACGCCGGAGTGGCCAACCTGCTAAAAGCCACTCTGCACTGGGCAACCCCTCACAGCAACCCCTCATGCCAGACAGCTCTAAGGACTCGGAAGGTGCCGTCGTGCCAGACTCATGCTCTCCTGAGCCTCGCACGGCTCCGCCAAGCTGGCTCTCCCTGCCAGGGTGCTGGCTGTGGGAACCCATCCTGCGGCCAAGGGCGGTGGCACTTGGAAGCAGCGGCAACTTCCTTCTCCTTCCTTCTGTGGGGTTTTTGGAGAATGGGAGAAGAGCATCCGGCTGAGCCCTTCAGCACTTGGAAACAGCAGCAACTTCCTTCTCCTTCCCTCTGAGGAATTTTTGGAGAGTGGGAGAAGAGCACCCGGCTGAGCCCCCTCTCCTCATGGCATCCCTGCAGTGCACCAGAACAGCTCAGGAAATGGGGATGCATCGCATTGCATTAAACATCTCCACGGGTTTTCAGAGCTTGCCCAAGCAATCCAGCCTCAGCACCTGCCCACGTGGCTGTGGTGCAAAGAAACCCTGCAGCACCTGCCCCACCAGGCCTGGCCATGCACCCATGAAATCTCCAAGCCATTGCTGGTATCCAAACACAAGGCTCAGCTGGGCACAGCTCAGCAGCATGGGCACAATCTGCACTCGGAAGCAAGCACAGGAGATGCCCCAGCAGTGGGGATGTGCTCGTCGGACCAGGATGGCAGCAGCCTCCAGCTCCAGCGAAACCTCCTCCCAAAAGGCCTGGGAGACACGGACAAGGCAGAAACAGCAGACAAACAGCAACTGCTGGGAGCAGCACGAGGAGCAGAAACGGGCAGTCCCGTGGACTCGACCTTGTGCTGCTCGCACACACCTGCACGCACACACACCTC